AGTAGTTATAGGGGTTTGTTGTGTATTGGTGATGGTAGTGTATGGTGGTAGTAGTTATAGGGGTTTGTTGTGTATTGGTGATGGTAGTGTATGGTGGTAGTAGTTATAGGGGTTTGTTGTGTATTGGTGATGGTATTATTTTCTTCGTGGTGTAATAGTAATGAATGATGATTGTTATAGAAAAAAGCGATAAACATGATGAAAAAACATGAACTTATTGCCAGTACGTCAAACTCGGCTTCTAAAACATTTTATTTGAAGTGTTTTTGCTTGGGAGAGTTCATGCAGTAGAAGATCAGTCATATCGGCTTTACTTTGTTCACATCGCACATTTAGTTTACCAGACCGATTTATAACGCACCTATCAATGTCTTGCCCCAACGGGGGGGAGTCCGGGCATACTCAGGGGCTATTGACATTTTTGAAAAAAAATTTTCAATGAGCCCCTCTTAAGGGCCATGATGAAATTGACACTAGACCCCTCACAAGGAGCAGAGAAGTTTCGTTGAAAGTGAAACTTATTGTAATTGATTCGGGAAAGAAAACTAAAAAACAAACAAATTGAATCGCTCCCTGTCTTTCTCTAACCAAACTGTCAATACGCCCTACCCTGGGGGACCCCTGTGTCAATAAAAGCCTAGCGGCCCCTGTCATGGGCAAGGTTTTCATTATGTCAATAGCCCATGTATGCCCGGGCTCCCCCCGTTGGGGCAAGACATTGGTAGGTGCATAATAACTTGGTTGATTGGTATATTGGTTGATATTTTTTCTTGGGGTCTTTGCGTGGCTTCGTCCACCTGAAATACTAGGAAATATCTTCTCTATATTGAGCAGGTCCCGTCAATATATAATGGCGAAATCTAATTTTGATTTTTAACTTTCTTGTAACAATATACCTTCAGGACATTTATAGTTAAAAACGTCTATCTTGATATTCTTTAAGTTTTGCAGAGTTAAAAGACGTCTTAAGTCGGAGTGATAAAATCAGCAATTAAAAAATGCCAATCGCCGCTGCATTTTCTTTTGGGACTTGTATGAAAATTTAAAAGTTTTTACCTCCTTTGAGTCAAAAATACGATACAATATAATGTGCTTTATTTATACCAGAGATACAAATCTTAAAAGTTGTATCGAACATCCTTATACTCCAAAAGGATTTAGTATTCAAGTTCGGACTAGTTATCTTTTCCCTTAACGTCGAACAATTTGTTATTCACATAGGTTTTTTTTTTTAGAAAAAATAGTTCAAGAAACACGTTATGTCTCAAGAATTTTAAGTTTTCCGTAGTCATGGACGAATCAATTTTCAAGCCGCCCGCGCATTATTTTAACATACAAACTTCTTCGCAAATCAACGGAAAATAGGAAACATTTTGTTTTTATGTCCGAAAAAAACTAAAGGTTCTGGCTATTAAGGCATTTGCTTCGAGTAATAAGTCCTTGGTAATCGATTCTATCTCTTAAGTGCTCTCATTCGTTCTTAAAAAATTGGTTTTCGTTAATTTTCTATATTTTTATATTTTGTCCTCAGCGGAAAGCCCCGAGGAATTGCAGACGAAACATATGTTTTTTTAAGTGCTGGTTGACTGCTCTACTTCGTTGTTGAGCGCAAATAGAACAAAAAAGCCTAATCTTTTTCCATCAAGTAGGATTGAGAAAACTTTTGAAGCCCTATTACCATGATTGCTCTCTTACGAGAGATCTTTAACTTCCAGATTTCGTTTTATGAAGATCTAAAATTATGTATTTTATCTTACTGCATCGGTCATTCTCTCTAGAGAATAGTCTGTAAAGCCCACTCAAATGCATCTACGCTCAAGACTCTTGATAACCACCACTCTTAACTATAACATACCTAGTCGTTTTAGTGTTAAGTGGCCTTAAGCACAAAGGTTTTTAGTGTTTTGGGCCTTAAAATCCGCATGCAAAGCAAAACCTCATTCTAATTGAAATACGTTTGAATGTCTTTAAAACTAGGATGGTTTGATTTGTGTAAAAAATACTGCGAATGATTGTAGGTGTACTATAGGAAAAAACCCGAAAATCGTGATATTTTAGTAGAGCATGCTTTGCATTATACGTTATGAAATACAAAAATTTGGGAACCCTTTCGATATACCGTGAGTTTACCCAGTGGGAAGCCATTTTAAAGCTAAATAGAGTATACCTTACCACATATACGGTAAGTTCTGCGAGATTGTTAATTGATGTTATTTGATTTAAAAAACACACAATTGGAAAGCCCTTTCAGTCTTATAGCTGTCTCCTCAGTAAATATCTCTGTGATATATCAGTCGATAGCCTCTCGTTTGAAATTTGTCCACATTGAAACCTGAATTTGAAATTTGTCCCTGGAAAACCTAAGCAAAACATAAACAGTTTTAGTTACCTCCAAAGTGTTGCCCGTTTTAGTAAGGGGGACCTTGCCTGTCGCTTTCTATTCGTATCTATAAAACATTCTGCTTTACCGGGTAAGAAAACCGCAAAGTAATTGCGCATGAATGGCTGCATTCGTTCGACCAATCACAACTGATGCACGAGGTCACTGTTCATCCAATCAGATTGATCTTACCCTAATACCTCAGTTGACTTTACGCAGATGGAGTTTGCGTTTGCTTGAGTATAATCCGGTGTGCATTAAGCAACATACGACGGTACGAAATGCATTTTATGACAAAATTGATCGAAACAAAACAGCCAGCGGCTATCTGAATCCTTTAGTATACACCAATTCCATGAGTGGTAAAAAAAGTGATAAAAAAAGAGATAAAAGGGATTAAACAGAAGGTCAAAAGGTTGACAAGGCTTTGGACTTTTTTTCAGTCCTTCATTAGGGCTAGTATCACTTTTCATTTTTTTAAAATTGTGCTGGTTCGATATACCGTTACAATGAAATGGGTTCCAGCTGACTGGAATCGTCCAATCACAATAGTTACAATAAAATGCGGTAAACTATGTTGTATATGTTGTAGGATATCCTGTCTATAAGTAAGCCGTAAATGAACTTACTTAAGTCTTATTCCAAACCAAATTTCGTTCATAAATACAGTTCATCTCACTAATCTTACTCCGATTATTCACTACTCCGATGTTAAGCTCATTTTTGCGTTCATAATCGCGTAAAACTCGAAACCGAAATGAATCAAGGTGTTTTCCGAGGCATAGACTTTCTTTACCCCTAACTTTATCTTTGTTTTTCAATTCCTACATTAGTTAATGGAGCGGAAATAAGCCCTTTGCCAAAATGGCCGCCGCAAATTCGAATGAGTTAAAAMTAAACTGAGTGAAAAACCAATACCAGCACTGGAAATAGCACCTTTACTTTAGTAAACCTACGAAGATTCATTATGTCAGGTGTTATGTGGCCCGAGAAAACTTTAGTTGAAAATTGACAAATTTAAAGACGTTTGCATTTCTGGGGGTTACTAAAGTAAAGGTGGTCTTTCTAGTGTTGTTATTGATTTTTAAATTTAACTCATTTCAATTTTCGGTCGACATTTTGGCAATGAATCTATTAACTCTATGATTCCTATAACTCTGTGATATATATTTATAGTTTCCCAATTTCACCAGGTCTGACTTCACAGACCAGTTTCATTGCACATTGGAGGCTAACACGAAAAACACACACACACACTTTCTCAGTGGAATTTGTGGTATTTCCATGGTAACCTCGTCTCCAAGATAAACTTTGAAAAGTGTCCATCGTAAATTCTTCAAAAAGAAACGAATTACTACCAAAATTTTGCTTCGAGGAAATGAATACTCGAGAAAAACTTAGCTAAAGACTATGGTGGGCGCTACTCTCTCTAACCGGTTCGGCATTACCTCACGCGTAGGATCAATATCACAAATAGAACGATCTATCGACAAAGATCTAATAGACATTGATTTTTTTAGGTTTAATCAGAATTCTATTTCTCAAAGATGTTTATGTTGTAGCTGAGTTTCTTTCAGCTAGAGACAAATGATAATTATTCTCTATACTACATTCCTTGCTTATGAATAAATTTTATAATATGTTTACGTTGTCTATCTCACCGCGTATGAACAAAAAATGTAAAAAAATAGTTAATTAATAAAAATAATAAATTGAAGCTAAATGACGGTAGAATGGGACCGCCTTTGAAAGGCAAAATTCGTACTTCATTTTTTAGTGATAATTTGTTCCCTCGGATCTAACGTCGTTTTATGAGTACTTTAAACATCTTTACCGGTGATCTTGGGTTCTAATCCAAGTCAAGTTAGTAGATATGAAATGGCGGTTCACCAACATCCGGAGCCCCGAGCCGCCTGAGCCGGGCCCCCACCCCTCCCTCCCAATTTCATATCTACTCAAGTTTACGGTTGGGACTGTGAACACCTTGAAACAACCTCTGGGCTTATCAAAGTCAGAACATGCCAGTGGCTAACTCACAGATCGAATTAGAATTTAGCGCGTGAGGTTTTGAGTGTCGAAAAAGGAAAACCAGAGAACCGTGAAAAAACCTTCAAGTAAAGTTAGAGACCTAAAAAACTTAACTCGTATGCGATGTCGACTCCAGAAATCTAATCTATCACCCTAGAGACAAGTGTCGGCACTAATGCTTCACCACCACCATTCCGAATACTGTATTAATCAATTTAATCTAGTTTACTTAATAATTGAAATGCTGCTTCCTGCTTCTTCTTTTCAGGGTGATCGCCCGTCGTTTATAGTTTTGGTTAACTAAACAAGACTCTTTCTTACTCTATCCTAGATGCATTGGTTTGTGTTGGAGCCTTTCTTTATGCGATCCGTAATAGGTAACTCAGGTAATGACTTTAATATATAATAATTATTATCTTTTCTATAGAGCGTTTTCACGTGACGTCACAGCGCCCATGTTGGTGTGCCAAAACAATACATTTTCTATTCTCATGTATATATATGTATATGTATAAATACAGCCATTTGCAAAAATTATGGTGGTTTCAAATATAAATACAAGTATATCGAAAGTATATCAGACAGGGCGGGATATCTTTCTTGATATTTTTTCAGAAAGCCCTAATGATAAACAACTCGAAAAAAATATCAGGGATGATATCCCATAATATTTGACATGCTTTTGATATACTACTTGTATATATATTGGAAGCGGCCATAATTTTTGCAAATGGCTGTATATGTATATATATATATTGTACATATATAAAAGTATATCAAAAGTATACCTGAAATTATGGGATATCATCGCTGATATTTATTTTCGGGTTGCCTATCACTAGGGCTTTCTGAAAAAAATATCAGAGATGGTATCCCATAATTTCTAATTTACTTTTGATATACTTTTGTGTATATACAAAAGGATCAGAATTAATGCATATCGCTGTATATATATATTATTATTATATATATCTTCGATTCGATTCCCATCAGGATTTTCTGCCGGAGTTCCATGGGTCTATTCCATTATCTTCATTATTTATTATTGCCATAGAGGATATCACATGGACGTGCAGAGATGCGTATTTTATCTTAGAGTGTTGAGGTGATACCTTACGAGTGAGCACAGCGAAGGAGATAATAGAAACACGAGAAGATAAAATCCGTATCTCCAAGCGGCTATGTCGGTAATATTCTGTTTTTATATACTTATCGACGAAATACGATTTTGGTGTATTTTTACTATTTATTACGATTCCTAAGAGTTTTTACCGATGGTGTTATTTTCACATGTGAAGATATAAAGTATTAGTAATAGAGAAAAGTATTCTATTATTTCCCAATATCGGTCGAGTTTCGTCGGGTTTCTGGAAAGAACGTAGCCGGAAAAGCAGTAGACAGGAATATTTCTACTACGGAGGTGGAGGATGGCAAATATTCACCTCTTTTACGTTCAATAGAAGTCTAAAAGGTTCTTGCTGAGGCATTCAGTTCAATTAAAAAAGACCGAAAGGCTTAATGTGGTGCGCGCAGCGAAAGCCGAAAAGCTGACTTAATTGATGGTTTTCAACCATTCCCAAGAAAATTAAATAACAAAAGACACGGCGGCCGTATTGGAGGATATAACAAAAGAATTCATTGACAATTCTTTTTTTAAGTTCCTCCAACATGGCCGCCGTGAAAACCATCAATTGGAGCCTATGTACGCCTAACTCAAAAGCGTCGGTCGCTGATCTGAAATCTGAATCACGCAAACAACTTATAATTTGTACTCTAGCCAGTAAACAAACATTTAGTCTAAGATCGCCTAGTTCAGATCTCGGACCGATAATTTTTTTTGAAATAGTTGTATATAATATAATGCCAGAAAATAGTTCTAGCAAGCTAAAGACGTATTCTGTTTTGATTGGTCGAAATTTTACCTCTATACGCGATGTGAGCACAGTACGCCGGTATATAATATAAGGTCAGAAAATAGTTCTAGCAAGCTAAAGACGTATTCTGTTTTGATTGGTCGAAATTTTACCTCTATACGCGATGTGAGCACAGTACGCCGGGCTCGGAGTTAAAAACATTTAGGGAGACGCACGGTTCTGGAATTTTCCATTCAAGAAAAACATTTATCTTTCTTAGTCAAGATGGACAATGAAATGAATATATTTCTTAGATAAAACATAATAGAATCTGGCTAGGAAAATTCGTCTAGATTATCCAATATTGAAAGACCTACGTAGACCGGTAAACTGGTGCATATCGCTTGCAGGCGATGAAAATATGTACACTCAGATAGCTCAAAAATATGTTTGGGGAAAAGATCAAGTTGACGGCAAAAACCTTCTAGAGACGCTATCGGAGAGCATTTGATGTCTTTTTTCAACCAAAACAACATACGCAGTCCGTTTTACTTATGTGCTTTGGCGGCTTTCGTTCGTCATATTCTAAAGAGGATTTTTTTTTCAAGTCGGTACCTAAAAACCAAAAAAAACATGAAAATATAAAATCATAGTAACACGAAATCAGATCTAACTCCTACCTTCTCTTTTTACTAATTGGCTAAATTGGCTTTCTAATTATGTATTGGTTGAAACTTCGAGAATAGGACTTGCAATAAGTTTTGCATTTCTTTGACAGAATGGAAGAAAGACTAATTGTATGAGCCATAGTAATTTAGAAATAGATCGTTCTAGATTTTTAAGGCTTGGAACTGGATATATATATTTTTAAAAGTTGTAGGTTTGGTTGAGTGCTTTTGATATGATTGCGACATTTCATTTTCTTCTTTCCGACTGCTCTGCCCTGCTCTGATTGGTGGGAAAACTAGCGATGTGATTGGTTGAAAAATATGGAGTTCTGGTTGGTCGAAAAATTAGAATCTATTTGATTAGTTGGAACTAAGTTTTCAAATTGGTAAACTACTTTGTTCTTGCGTGTCCACATTTTACCGCTATCTGATTTTCAAAATATATTTTCAAATATAAAAGGAACTTTTGAAAAAGTACTACAAAACGGCCGATATAACGCCCTATGAGATCAACATCAATCGGGAATTTAGAAAATGCTTTAGTTTTATCGTCTTTACCGTTTGAAAAAGGGGTTCGATTGTGAGATATCTTGTCTTTCTTTACGATAAGCTTTGATCTATCCGTCTCTGTAAGAATCCTCGCCATCTTTCTTCTCTTATTGACGATGACAGTGATTATGTTATTCAAGATAGTGCCATGGTAATGTAGTGGATTGACTATCATCACTGGTAGCGAAGGATAAAGTGTATCGCTTGATTTACATGGTGATAAATGACGTCATGTCATCCTTTGTTGCTACCCTACATGTCAGATCGCAGTTATAATAGAACCCTCCACTGAGTCCCGAAAGGAATTGTTTCGGGGTAGTGACAAATTAATTTTTTTTTTTTTTTTGCATAAGAAAAGACGATGGTAGTAGGAAGTAAATTATGTTTTGTCAGTTGGAAGTCTTTCTGATAAAATTCATTTCGTGTCATATAAATACAAATATAGAGAACGTGAAATCGTGAAACTATCCTTTTTAGCTTGAAAGTCTGACGCGTGTGGCTCTCGAATCGCTATTTTTTCCCCGCCAAAAACGTTTTAACTGTCAAGGTCTGACGCGTGTAGTTGTAAAGACGTGAGTTTTCCTTTTTAACTTTAAAAGTCCAACACGTGTTTTAACACAGATTTTAAGATTTTGCAGGATCGAACTTTTTAAAAATTTGGAATAATAGACCTCTTTAGCTTGGGCGTAATGTTTTCCCATTACAGACCACGTGTTATTCCCTAGAGTATCATATATTTTTTTAACGGTTGCGCATGAGAAGACACATGAACATGGTCTGAAATAAGAAAACATCACTCCCAAGGTAAAGAGGTCTATTAGAAAGGCGAAAAGGAATGAGAAACTCTAAAATAAAATAGAAAAATGGGAAAAATGAAATGCAATTTCTCATTAATAACTTTAAAATACAATATACAATTTATACGTTAGAATGCATTATAGATATGTATCACTGAGTAAATGAATAAAGAAATGAATGAATGAATAAAGAAATGAATGAATGAATGAATGAATAATCGAATGGACAGATGGATGGATAAAATCAATCGGAACAGAATAATGAATAAGTAAGCGAATAGTTTAATTGGTAGCTAGATCGATGAATGGATGTATGGACGTACTAAAATGACCTAATTCTTCTTTAACTTGTTTACCATTAACCTAACAAAATAATTGTTAATCAATATTGACAATATCGGAACAACCTCCAACAATCTCTAATATCCAAACTATCCAATATTTTCCTCGCCAATGCGAAATCCTGACAATTGAAGCCGCCTTCAACTGAATGGCCATGTTTTTTTAATCTTCTTTTTTCTCGTAGTGCTAGAGCCCTCAAGTATTGACGTAGAGAGTTAATATCTATAGTTGGTATCCATGATTGCAGATAGTAACATTCACGTATTCGAATTAAATATCCTCTACAGTAGCATTGCATCTCAAAGCCCATTGTCCATATCTTTCTGAGTGTTATTGTAAGATTTCTGTGGAATACTTTGAAAAGGATTGATTGATGTCTACGTCTTGTTGAGGATCGGTTCCGTTACCGCGTAATTCATGATGCTCTTCAAGATTAAACTTTATTTAGACTTTTTCCGCTTTTCCGTGCTTTGCATCTTTCGCATTCGAGAAAATCGTTGTCCTAACTTTGAAATTATGTTAGTTTTGATAAGATTGTATCGGATTACTAGAAAGTCTAATAAGAAAGTTGTGAATTTGAGTAATGAATCTAAGTATGATATTTCTTTCGGGATCAGTTTGTAAAAAGACTTTGATAATTAATAATTCATTTCTGTCCTGTTAAGTCGGGATTTTTTTCAAAGACTTCGATCATATTCGAAAACACAAATTTATTAAATAATGAATTTACAGTAAACGTGAAATCAAGTACCTAAATAAATCCCACATCTCAGTGTTGGTCCTTTTTCGGAACCAATTAATATTAAATCAATGGAGAGTATAGATAATCAGATCCATTTAGTTTTTCCAGAAATTTCTTTAGTTTATATCATGTACTAGCTATGCTCTAATTTTTTTTAACGTTTCTCATTTATTTCATATTTTATCTTGTCATCAGCATGAAAAGCGTTTCAAGTGGTAAAAAATTTAGAAATTGGAAAAAACAGGTTAACGATTTAAAAATGACTTATATTAGGAAAAATGTGTGGAAAAAATGCCATATCTATGGTGACGTGAGGTAAAGTCAGTCATACGCCTCTAGAGATGCTCTCTAACACTACAGCAGCTACGTTTTTTTTCCATTAAAGCGTTAAGTAGATATTTGAAGGTTTAGGCTGTCATGTCATGGCGTTTACAT